CCATGTTTGAAACATTCAATGAGAAGCACACTAGCCTGCAGATCAAAAAGTTTTTTGGAGAGTTCTTAAGGAAAATCTTACAACTCTTCACTGGTTCTAAAAGACATTCAGAAAATACCAAAGGCATCCCAAAGACTTCTGACACAATCTCATCTCAAGAGAAAGCATGATCATTGACTTCTCTCTTCTTTGACTGGAGCAGGATTTTCTTATCAATGCACTTTTAGAAAGGTGTCAGTTGATGCAAGGCTGTAATTGTGGAATGTTTTTGTTCCAAATAAGAGCTGGTGAGTATGAGCTGACTGAGCTGGCTAGAGATCATATTATTTAACATTATATATTTATATATATATATATATCTTTTTTTTTTTTAGATAGCCAGCTACAGTAAAATACACAATAAAAAGGAAAGGCCTGTGAGAGGTTTTTTCTTTGTGTCTTTGGAAACCACAGTGACATTTCGTTTTAACGATTTTCTAGTGATCTTGATGTGGGAATACTACTGCAGAGCACACAGATATGGAAATGTAAGGATCGAAATCTGTTAATGTATTACAGCCATACTAAAGGCACGAAGTCATAGGGCCAGAAAGGCAATAATAGCATATTGACAATTATATGTTTCTAAATATCCTTGCTAATTTTAAGATCACTGCAAGCACGAGAACAATCCTTTTTGTAGTAAATAAACGGTAGAATACAAGGTTTAACAATTTAAGTTAAACTTGTCAGCGTTTCATCCCACTCACTTACAAAACAGTTGTGATTTACTCACTGTCTGTCGAACCATACTGCCTCCTTGTTTCCATTCAGACTATGTTCTGCTAGCAGGCCAGAGTGTTTGACCGAACTGAACTATTGCAATACCTCGTTATCAACCTAAATCACTTGAATTAAACCGAATATCACTCCCAAAGGCATTTTAATATCTAGGTAATGAATCGAGTACCTTGAACTTATCACAAAAATGTCCAAAAATCTTCAAATGCCTCTGCTTTCTAAGAAGAGGAACACAAGACGTGGAGAACTAAGGCGAGTCAAGAAGAAATGGGGGGAGGGGATGGTAAGGTAAATCTATGTTGCTGATATCAGTGGCTAAGCTCGGTCGCTTCTCTCAAAGTGAGGCAAAAGCTAACTTTGAAAACTTCGGAAAACAATTAGAAAAAAATTGGGATGAATTCTTTTTCCAGTCGATAAATGTTCTATGATGACGTGACTATGAGCATTAAGGGGTGGTTGAAAAGCATCATAGTCACGTGACGCATTCTCCATCTGCAAACATCTTAACTTTCACTTTCGAAGGCGACGAACACAGTAAGTAATTTCTGTTCACTTCGTTCACTTTCACTTTGTTGTTTGATAGTAGTTTTACAGCTCGTGCGTTAGTTTTAATTCATTTAAAATGACGTAAGCGTAATCTGTTAGAACAGTGAGCTATTTTCGTGATGAATCTCCAACATCGACGTTGTGGTCGCCTAAATAATTACGGTGGAAGGAAAACAGTGGCATCAAGCGAATCCACAGAAAAATTTCAGTGAATCTGATATATCTTAGTGATATGTACGTAAATGCTTCTAAACTGCCTGAAAATCTCGCACTAAAATAATCACCCACGTGAACTTTATTTCTCTGAATAAATCTGATGTCTCCAAGTGGGCTGCCATCGAGCAGACTTCAAGCCGGAAGTAGCTTGCTCGCGTTTGCAGGTAAAATTTTGCTTGAGAAGCATAGACATGCAGTCTGCACGTTGCTCCCGTTGTTCCTTGAAGTGCTCTATACATAAAAATCCATAGATAAAGATAAAAGAAGGTCGATTTCCGCCTTGTCATCCAGTCTAGCTTTCAATCCGCGAGTTCGTTTCCCGACCAGCGGCTGGCTGATAGAGGCTAGAAATAGATTTACGTCGGAGTTGGGCCTCGAGATTCATGTTTATGTGTTTAAGACCTTGATTACGCTGGAGAATTTCTCCCTTTTCGAATTCATAATAGGTGTTTTGTGTTGTAACTTGTTAATAAAACAACCTGCATTTTTTTCAAAGGGAAAGTCGTGCCTCAGCATCGCTTTTATCTGGATTTCAATCACAAGGCCAAGAAATTTGAGACAGTTCTTGCAAGTAACATTATTGTGGTGAAACTGTAAGTTTATCATGTTAACAGTTTCTTTTAATTTTAAACCAAATGTTAGAATTCATCGGCTGATTTTGATCCCCAATTCCTCGCTAATTACAAAAACTTTCTAAAACAAGAATAGATATGATATATAAGAGTAAGTCAAGCGAAACCAAATACATCAGTCCAATCAACCTGTTATGACAGACAGCTATTTTGGTGAGCTGTCTGCCTTCAGAATCAACCGCATTCTTTAGTAAGAAACTATTAAATTGAGAGGCTGCAAACAGATCTAACACAGTTGAATTAAATCCTCAGATTAAAGCTGTCTCATTCATTTCGCTCGAGCAATCGGGAAAAGTTCGTAATGGAAAACTCAGTATAACTTTTGGCAAACTTCTCTGTGGCCTTGACTCTGGCTATACTTTTAACAGTTGGCACTTTCCTATGAAAAGTATTGAGTATTGAATCAAGCGGCTGCAAACGGATCTAACAAAGTTAAATTAAATCCTTACGCTGTCTCATTCATTTCATTCGAACAATCGGCAAAAGGTCGAAAATGGACAACGTAGAAGAACTTATGGCAACCTTCTCGATGGTTATTGGGTTAGTGGTCGCTACCTTCTTCCTGAACACTGGTCGTGGCTTACAAGCCGTGATGTTAGGCGAAGAATGTTTGAACTTTTTAAAATCTGACGAGCTTGAATCGAAGACCCGTTTTCGACTTATCATGAAAATCTATACGCTAATGTTCAAGGCGGCTTGCATGGCTTCCAATCACACATCTGCAGAAAGATATGCCAAGGAACTTCTTGATATGTGCCATGCCTCTGGTGACACAATTGAAGAAGGAAAAATAACTTTAACACTGGGAAAGATATATGAGAGCCAAAATGAGTTTGAAAAGGCAAAACAATATTATCAGAAGGCAATTGATGTGACAGAATATACGGCTGACAAACAAACGAGGGGAAAATGTTACTTTGCGATGGGACATTTATCTTATTCGCGTAGTGAATATCACAAAGCTAAGAAGTATTTCGAGAACGCACTGGCAATC